GCAGTAGGATGCACCTAACTTTCACATTCTAAAAGTTAGGCTTGTAATTTAGTTATCAGTAAATTACTTCTGGTGATTGAAGAGGAGGCATCTCCATTAGGGGTTCATTTCGCCTCTCCCGTATGAGATGAATCATGCCCCTTCTCTCGCTTTCTCTATCTTGCTTCCTCCCATTCTTTTTCTTTCTCCCTTCCTCATGACTCTCCAGCAGCCAACACAATGACGTGAGCTAATTACCGGACCTTCAAGATAGCTCAGGTCAACTAGGTGAATCTCACCTGACATGAAAGAATGGGACCAATTTTTGCTTGCACTGAAAAGTCTTTCCCAGGAAATCAAACCTGAGGTTTCATACTTGTTCCAAAGTGGAAAACATAACATGATCTGTGTGAACTTAGAGTTTTAAAATAACACTGGGAAAACATGAGGAGGAATTTTATATATATATATATATAAATTCCTAGACAAATATTTCACCAGAAACAAACATACCGTTCAGACACCTTAATTAGGTGTCTGAAAAGTGTTTTCCTCCGACTGAACTGATAATATGTTTTCCTGTGTGGAGGCTCAGTGTGTTTCTACTTAAATGTCAGAATTGGGGAGAAAGATGCTCCTTGCTTTACCTGGCTGTACAGGGCCCTGTCCTGACTGAAGTCTGCCCAAGTAGTCAGAAAGTCAGACAGGAAGGAACTGTTACGATGAACTCATACAGCACATTTCCTTATCAATGCAGAATTAGTTTTCCTGCTATTGCTCAAACCAGAGAAACGACAAAGCAGTGTTTCGTGATGTGATAATTAGTAAAAAGGGAGAGGCTATCTGGAGGGGTTGGTTGGGGATAGACTGAAAATGGCAGGCAAGCCCAGGGAAGGGAAAGAAGTGAAGCCTGGAGTAGGAAGAAATAAGGGAAATTCTTCTGTTACAGACGTCAACAAAAGATGTTGTTTAGTTCTCCCTCTGGTTGTCTGGTAGGCATGGTCACTAGGAATTAGGTGGAGATAATCATGTAATTTAAGCATACCAGAGCTACTTAAGAAAATTACCAGGTAAAGACACAATAGATGAAGGAAGAAGAATAGTTCAGCGGACAAAACATTTTTTCCCTTGCAATGCTTGGGCTCAAGTTACTGTTTTGTCTGATAATGCCCAGACCAAAGAGTCTGCACTCAGTTTTCCTGCTGTAAAATGCAGGCACGCAGTATCACAGCAGAAGGGGGATGTATTTCTTGGAGACTGCCAGACATGTCCATGATACTAAAATCACATACACGGAGAGGTCTTAATGGATGTCAGATTCCCTTTACTGTAAGACTGGTTTGCCTGGTGTTTGACATGAGTTCATAACAATTACTACCTCTGATACTCTACTGCCTTTGGCCCTTATTGGCTACTTGTTTCCCTCAGAAGCTATTCTAGCAGTTTGTTCAGTGCTTGAGGTGGGTCTTTGTGCTTAAGTTTGTATTTATTGCTCTTGTTTGGGCTTTTCTTCCTATTCATTACTGCTTTTGGCAGAGGACATCACTGGGAGTATTGAGGAGCACTGTTATTTCAGGGTGTGAAAGATTCTCAGGCCTTTAATCTAGAAATACAAGTGACATCTGTCACCTGGGTATCTTAGCGGTTTCTAAGCAACCACAAGAGTTTATTTTTTTCTGCATTTGATATTTAAGAAATAATTTGGTCATGCATGAACCAGAAACAGCCTGAGCACCACCTCTGGAGACAGAAATTGTAAACTGTAATTTAGGCTAATTCTAGTCTAAAACATGAATTACAGTATTTTATACAATCTTGGAAAACATACTGTTTAAATATATGTAAGCACAGAACAGGTACAATTAATCTGAACTCGGCAGGAAGCTCTAAGTAACTCAGGGAATGTGAGAAACCAAGTTGGAACATATTCTTGACATGTAAAAATATTTCCCACCTGCCTTGTTTGCATAAGAACAAGGTTTTAGCAAGTACATATTTGCATGTCAAAGTTATAAGTGGGGAAAATATTTTCACCCTCATAAGAAAAATGCATAATCTTGGCACAGGCAATTTGCATTTAGTAAGTTTAAAGTATCTAAGTCCTTTCATGCTATATGGAAAGTGTATGAACTTGTGACAGAGATTCCATTTCAATGAGCTGATTTGCAAAGGCAGCCACACAGAGCAGTAATTGATCTGATGTCTTTCCATGCATTAATTTGTAATACAATTGGTTGTGGCAGTCCCAAGTAATTTATGCTTCTGAGTTTCACCCCACTGTTCTGTATCTCAAAGTGAAACATTAAGTTGTAGTTGTAAATGCTGTGTGCTCTTGAAAGCGAGTGCCTTGAAGGTGTAGTAAGCTCTAGAACATCTGGAATTCTAAAATGATTCTGGATTTTGTGTCACTGCTCATATGGCCAGTGGTCAGCACATACTGACTGAGATAGAGACTGAATCTGTGTAGATTCTCTTCCAACAGTAAAACACCCTGGCAAATGCACTTGGGACTAATTATTACACCTTTTAGACTATTAGTGAGCTAGCTTTAGGCCATGACTTTGAAGGCATGTTACATTCCTTCAGAAACACTCTGCAAATGTCCTGTTGCTTAAGAGACGGAGATTGCATAGACAGGCTTCATGGGTGATTTAGCTAATATGCTGGAGATTGTAGATAAACAAGATCCAATTATATCATACCTCTTCATAATAAGGCAGTAATTATGTATATAAAAGCGAATTGTGAACAAATATATTACCATGTAGCTGTAGAGCTTTATCACTACTACACTGTCAGTGGAGTTGGAGAAGGCCAGTGATTTCCTGTAGCAGAGTAGAAAAACAATCAGAGATTGAATAAGCATAACTGGGAATCAACAGATCTATTCCAGAGTCTACCCATGGGATTTCTCTTTGAATCTGAACTTTACATTGCACAAATTTTGAACTTCAGTGAATTTCAGTCTGTTATTCAATTTGGTAATGTGACGTTAATGTTAAGTGAGGGAAGAGGAGTCATACTCCCCTTTCTGCTCATAAGATCTGTTTGTAAACATATGATGCACTACTAATGATTAATGCATGGAACAAATTAATAAAATAACTTACACTCTTTTTTTCACCCTTCTATTATTTCACTTCCTGCTTCATGTTGTTTAATGTGTTAGCTGAGAGCAAGGTGAAATGAAAACACTTTTTGGAGGACGGCAAGGCAGAAGTATTTGTTTACTTAAGTATCCTAAACAGATTTTAATCTCAGCCTTTTGTTTTGTCGCTGCAAGGAGGGTGTGGGATTCAGTGTCAAGAATGCAAAGATCTTTATGATGGAAGTAGATGCGAGTGGAGTGGGGTCTTGTATTACAAAAATATTTTGAAAGCTGCTGATATGAAAATACCAGGCAAACAACACCGTAGTCCCTTAGCTGTTGGGTACTGCTTTCCTCAGCAGAGCATTTCGGATGCTATTAGGTTCTTAGGAACAAAGAACAAAGAATCTTCTACTTAGGTGATCTGTTCACTGCATTTGATACAGCCTGGAGGATATTCTGAAGTAGTGTTTTAGCACAGTCAGTGCTGTGCAGTCTACTGATGGTGCGTTTTGGCCTGACCTGGAGCTATGGTGTGCTGCAGTGAAGTGAAGCACAGAGAAGAACTAGATTATTCTTGTTATAATAAGATGATTCTTGTTAACTACAAGCAGTTGGTTAGGGATTTAATGGCATGTAAAATACAGTGTTTCAAAGAGTGGACATGACTTTTTGAATGCCTTGTTGAGAGTACAGCAAGGCTAAGCTAATGCATTATCTTAGATGTGATTTTTTGTGTTGTCACAGTCTGGATAACCATAAACTGGATGAAATAAAGGCTCTCTGAGGCAATCAAGCATCTTGAGAATGGATTTCAGTTCCTCGCAGGAGATTAACTGCACTTCTGATGTTTAATAAATCACACAGCAAGAAATACAGCTAGAGTTGTATTTGCATTCCTTTTCAGTGTAATCTGGTTCAGGAAAATTAATGTAGCCCAACCCAACACAGTTGCAAGACAGAAAGTGCATTCTTAGGATTCTGTTATCTACATGGTACGTACGCTCTGTATGTTTGTGAGAGCACATGCAAGCATAGGTAAAATGTTGACTGTTGGTCTCTGATATTATAAACCAATGCCTGGGTACGATGCTATGTAAAAGGCTTGTAAAATGACTTCAGTGATAATATGCTGAAAAAGCAGCTGAAGAGATATTCCTGAGGAGTTGTGATTTAGACATACGTACAAAGAGTTTTGTCACACAGTAAACTGAATTACATATGCTATATTACATAGCATATCACATATGCTACATATATATATGAGATCTGGAAAAAAATAAAAACCAGAGTATTCCTATTGTCTGTGGCGTTTTCAAGACTCAGTCATCTCATTTGTTTTCTGTGTTTTGAATAGAATTCTGCTGTGTTTTCGCCCCCATTTGCTCTGTGGGAGCTAATATACAAATGCATACTGATTATTCAGTGTAGCTATTTGAATTTTGGAATTCTCGTGTAAAATACACTTACTGCTTACCATAGTGCTTCTCTTTTGTGTTGGCCAGTCATGTGAGCTGGATGGCAGGATCAAGACTTCTCTGGTAAAGATGTTACATTCATTTTCAGGCAGGCAAACTCTGCTACAGCCAGAGTTAAGACTGGAAGAAACCATTCCAGTGTCCTTCCTAGCTCTTTGGCCAAATTGTGAACTCTCCGACTCTTTTTGGCTTTGAAATGCTGATTCCAGCCTTCTTGTGGGTTCTTAAACACCTTCTCAAATGACCCATTTTAATAACCCAAAAGCTATTATATAATGAGCAGCCATAATTTAGTCCAAAGCTCCAGGGGACCCTCGGAGTTCAGCAATGAATAGTTAATGCAGTATAATGTTTAGCAGGTTATTAGTTTTCACTGTACAAATGCTGATCAGGGAATGCTTTTATAAGGTGTTTAAAAGAAAATGTAATTAACTGGTTGTGTGCTTCTGTTGCAGCTCAAATTGAAATTATTCCATGCAAGATCTGTGGAGACAAATCATCAGGAATCCATTATGGTGTCATTACATGTGAAGGCTGCAAGGTAAGGGTCTAAAAAAATAAGTTTTGAAACAGTGTTTGGCCTTTGAATAGTGATTATTTTCCTTCCTTTTTTGAAGAGCAACTATTACTTGCAAGTTGAATCAGTAGATTTCATTTCAAAGAATATGAAATCAATTGGTGAGTCTGAAGTACTGTTTTCATTTGGGTTTTTAAGAGGCATTTTTGTGACACACCTTCTCCCCAGAGACAGGCGTAAAAAATCGTGCAGTTTTGCTGCATGTGCTCTAAACTGTCCCTATGAAGAAGAAGTAAAAGCTGAAGAAGCATAAAAAGATGAACCAGTTCTAGCATATCTCAAATAATCTGTTCTGCAGATGCACTTGAGAGGGAGTTGTGGTTTTCTTGATTCTCCCTCTCCTTTTTTTGCTCTGTAAATTGCTGCGTATCTGTGTTGAAATAGCTATGGCGAGAGCTCTCTGACTTCTTGCTTTTCTTCTGCAACCTGCTACAGTTAAAAATCTATTCTGTTTTACATGGAAGACGCTGTTGTGCAAATTCCACTTGCTACAGGTGTAAAACATATATGTTCAAAGCACTGTGAGCAGTGCTTATTTCTTGCAGCGTAGCCCGTTGTTGTGTTAAGGTTTAAGATTTTATTTTTTTTCTGGATTTGTACCTTTAGAAGCTCTAATGAAAAAGGATTACATTAGAAGCATGTATGTTTTGTTTAGTTTGTCCCTCACAACCAAAAACTGTATCAGACAGTGCCTGCATTAGTCCAGAGTGCTGTGAAGCCAATCATTGCTTTTCTTTACTAGTACAGAGTTACAGCACTAGCTTGGGAATGACAGTTTGTACAGCTGTGCTGTAGCTTGCTGCTTTCTTTATGCAAGTATGTGTAGGAGTCCCATGCTGAGAGGTTTTCTACTAATAATCTACATTTCAGAAATTATATTTATGGTAAGTTTTAGTGTGTTCTCCTGACATGCTTGATATTACCTTTAATCTTCAAAGAAGTTAATTCCTTGCTTTCACACTATAGCAATTTCTTTTTTTCTTCTTTCTTTTTTTTTCATGGAAGATTTTAATGTTTTCATTCTCACATTCTCTCAGTCTCATGGAAGTATTGGTAAAAAGGAGGAAAAAATCCCCAGAGTGTTAAAATGATCCAGGACTGCACATCATGCCTTTTTGACAGCTGTTGCTATGGAAGAAATTAGGAAATCCACTAAAAGTGCATTTGATAATAAAGTTTCTTGCAGTTAGCTCAACATCATTTATCACACATCAGCTTTGCAAAGTGGCAGACATTTACAGGGGCAGTTGAGCTGTGTGAATAGAAGACCATGAAGTTACATTCAGTGTTCAAGACCCTTTAATCTTTAAATGGTGTGGACCAGTATACCTGAAAGACTGCCTCAAGATCCCTGATGAGCATCACTGTCAACAGACTGAGGTTAGCGTAATGCTAACGCTCGTCTGTGCAGAAAACAGGGCTTTCTCAACATGGCTTGTTGCAGAACAGGAACAGTCTGCTGAAGGGAAGGAAAGTTGCCAACTGTGTTATCTTTTGCTTCATCTTAATGCATGTCTTTGGCATTGCCTTCTCTTAAGCCCTGTATGTGAGAAAAGCCCCCAACAAAAGCAGGATGACCACAAGCAGCAGAAGCATGAGCTGTATTCACAGTCTCATTAGTTTGCGTGTAAATGGTAGGAGCTTAGCACTGCAGCTTTGAGAGAAATATCTACTGAGAATTTTTCCATCAGAATGATTGTGGTTTCCCAGGAATAATGCAAACATGAGTTATTAGGAGAAGAGTCTTTTTTGTGCCTCCCAACAGCCAGAACAGGAGATGCTAGCTGGTAGTGAGAAATGCAAGTGGAATTCCTTACATATTAGAACAAACAGTATTCCTTCAAACTCCATATTAGTTGAGCTCTCTGGAGGTCTGTGCAGCCCTCCGTTTGCTCCAGAATGATCAGCTAGTGTGTGTGAAGGGGCAGAAGGGAGGACAAACAAGCAAGTCTGCTCAGCTGAACTGAAGCACACTGAAACCTATTAGAACTTTGAAAACAGTGTATGCATGAATAAACTAGAGAGAATGAAATTAGGCATTTTCTCCTTCTCTTGCAGTAGCAGAATAGCCATACAATTTCAAGCAGCATTTCAAAGCCAATGGATCAACTTAGTTATTTCCCTTCTAGGAGGCAAATGAATCTGAAGCTCACTATTCTTTACTGCCAGATCCGGGAAGTAGTGAAAGATAAGGGAGCTCTAGAGGGGACAAGTCACAGGAAGAGTTTACAAGATAGTGGTCAAAACATTTAAAATACCCCAGTGCAGCAGATGGATTTTGTTTGTGCTAAGCACTTCCACAGTAATGTCAACAAAGTCTCACCCAACAGAACTATTTTGGCTGGTGAAAAAAGTTGGCATAGCTTGGCTTCTGCCAAATGAGCCAGGTGTTTATTGGTCTGGAGTTTTTTTGTTTTGTTTTTGTTGGTGGTTTTTTGTGCTGTTTTTTCCCCCCTGAAGTGCATTTCCCAGGTTTTCTGTGGCTATGATCACTGCAGGTTTGAGCATGCTAACAATTGCTCTTCATGTTACGTTAAACCTTCTTTCATACAAACTACTTTGTTATGAAGAGCTAGTTCCCAGCCCTACACTGATTCCTGGAGCCAATGTCTTCCTCAGTGGATAGACCCAGAGAAGTCAGTGAGGTTCTGCACAGATATACAAACCTATCCCTGTGTATCAGATTGCAGGGTCAGGGCCTTAATCATCACAAGGGAACAGCTGTGCTGCTGCCCTCTCAAGCCAGGCCTGTCAGGATGACCTACAGGCAGCAAAGCAGCAGCAAGGTGGGATTTTTTCAGCTCCCTTAATGTTTTTCGTTCCCTTTCAGTGTGAATGTTAACGTTTGTTAACAGCAAACTTAATTTAAATACTACTGTTTAAATACTAAGCAACATAATTTGTTTAAAATATAAAGCTTTAGTTGCAAAGATTTACTTTGCAAACTTAGTCTGTGTCATGTATGGAATCACAGAAGAGCTCTGGTTAAAGTGATTTCTGCTGATCCTCGTTTATTGTCCTGCACCATTTTAGCCCTTCCATTTCATATAACAAAGTTTTCAAACCAGTTTTTCTTGCTATATTTCATTTCACGTACTAGAGTTGAAGACCTTTATTGAAGTCAATTAGTGTTTTTTTGGGAAGTTTTAATTTCCTACCTTGCTGTGAGATTACTGGCTGTTTTTATGATGTTATCGGCTGTGTTTTACACAAACGTCTGAGTACACTAGGAGTACACTGAGTACTCCTAACCAATCAACCTATTTGTCTGATATGAATCTGCATTAAAAATAATAACATCCCCACCGCTTTTTCTCCCTTAACTGAAAAATGAAGTTTGTAGCCAAGCTCTGTTTTATACTTGAGCTAGGAGGGCTCCTGTGGACGGCTTATGATAAATAAAGAAAATTTTGAAAGACTTTTCTATCTGACCATTGCTGATATCCAATATATGTCACATGATGGAGATGCAAGAGGAGTCATTTAAGACCTAAAATTATAAGCACAGATGAAGAATGCCTCCCTGTTGCATCACTCGGAAATAACAGTTTATTCCCATATTTAATATTGAAAATAGTAGTACTGTAGTAGCACTGCTGAAAAAACTAAAATCTGTATGGAGCGCTTGTTCAGCTGTTATAGGAACTGATTTGCTCTGTGTTAGGCACTGTGGTGAGAGAGGAGACTGGTCTGTATACAGCCACACTCATTTATCACACCTAAAGGTTCTGTTCAGTGTTTTCTGCTTCATATTGGCCTATTGACCTGTTATCAGATTAATTGATTTATTTATTTAAGTTCTGGCCTCTGGCCATTAACTGTGCGTGGTCCCTCCCTTCTGCTCCCTCGCCCCCTGGCAGTAGATATTGTTTGACATGTTGTGAAGAATTAGACAGAACTGAAAGAGTTGTACAGATCAGTAAATGCATCTTTCTTTAAAATTAGTTCAGTTTTTTAAGAGAGACATCAACAGCATCTTTGACGCTACAAGGAGAAATTGATGTCAGAAAACACTTGAATGTTTCAAAAGGGCATAGCAGAGCGTTTACTTCAAAACAAGTATTTTGGCAGTGAACTGTCTTCAAAGTTGCAAATGCAGCTTACTTGATTTTTCTGTCAACGGTGATAGTTCATGCTCAAATGACATGAACAATACAGTACCAATTGTATTAGTATGACACCTCTCTTTATTTCAGTGCCTGCAGTTGAACTCAAAACCATCCATGCAGGGCACTACTGAGCATTTCTCTTATTTTCAAAGATTTATAACTCCTAGCTTCTGTCTCCTGTATCTTTTTAGATATCAGGTGGTGGTGTTCATTGCAAATACAAGGATCGTCCCTATTTGTTACTTCAGAAAACAATACTTGGTATCATCTCCCATCTTGCATTTCTTTTTCCATTGAGACATTCACTTTGTGTAGTAGTTGATTTTTCATTTCTGAACGCAGAGTGTCACAGTGGTGTTGTAAACATGTACCTTTAATTCATGCTGTTGAAATATTTTATTTTTTTGTTTCACCAATTTAAAGAAAAATGTCTCAGAAAATTCATCAGCTATGTTACAAAAAGGGCTCATAAGCTTTTTATAACCTGATAAACAAAATCTATTTCCTGGATTTATTGTGTAGGTAAAACTGAATGTTTTTCTCTGTTTTCAGTGGTGCTAAAATTTGGTTAGCAAATACTTTATTAACAGTTCATTTAAAAATATTTTCACAGTATTCTTTTCCCCTGTAACTAAAATCATGTTTGTTGTCATAAAAGGGTTAAAATCCTCTCTGAATATTTACATTTCTTACATTTGAAAGTATATTTTTCTGATGCTTCTTTGAAGAAAATTGGATGTAGTTTGCTATAGAAAAACGAACCCTCCCAACTAATTGTTAATTGCTCAGAATATTGCAAAACTTAATGATACGTGGAAGACTTTAAGTATTAGCCATAAATCATGGGATTATGAATAAGTCTTTTTTGTCACAGGCTTGCTTACAGTCATTCCAAAACGTCTGCCATTAGGATGCAGCAAGGCAGCTGTCAGCTGTTTTCTTGTAATTAAACAGCCAATGAGCAGCTAATTAAGACATATGTGTATACAGAAATGGAAGTGGGTATTTTAATGAACTGTAGGAATCAATTCATTAAATGAAAATTTGTCAAAAGACCAAACATGAGATCAGCATTTCAACCCGTGCTGCACTGGAGAGGGAGTCTGTGTGGTGAGATTTGTGACATCAGAGCATCACAACAGGATTTTTCCCCTTGGAAGCAGGAAGCTTAGACACAGACGTCTGTAGTACAGAGCCATTGAACAGTAAAGCTACTGGAACTATTAATAGACTGTGAAAACTGCTATTTACATTTCAAAGTTCTTTTTTAACAAGTTGTTATTCAAACTGACTTGCAGATGAAAAGTTCTTGTGCCCTTTTTTTCCAAACTTGATTTTTTGGCAGCATATGAAAAACCATATATTGTTTTGTATATAAATAGGAGTCTGAAATGTAGAGATGGCTTGTAATCTGCTCTTCACTTCTTCTGGCACTGTGTTAATACAGCAACATAAAAAGGGAGATGGGCAAAGCTCAATGACGCCTCATCAAAATCAGCTGCCTCTTCATCCTGACATCAGAAGGCGGCAGGGCTCCACACACTCACAAACACACTGATACCAGGGACCTTGGCTCAGCCCGTGCCATCAGTCAGAGAGCAGTGTAACGTGGTGACATCTTTTAGTGCAGGAACAGTTTTGTTGGTCTGTTTGATCAAGAGGGGTCCGATCTGCCTGTGGCCCATTATGCAATCGGAAGAATGTCAAATGATGGTTGTTATGAACATGCATGCAATTAAGAGTATGTGGCTCTGGCTGGTTTGCATAATGATTGAATGTATACACGTGTACCACACATGCATACACCTCCTCCTTCCTGATGGAAAAATTATAGCTAGCTCTGTGCCTCTGGCAAAGGGGAAAAAATAGCACAACAACACAGTACAGTACTCTCCTTCTCCTGATAGAAGAAAAAAAAAGCAATTAGTAGGGAAACTGTATTTACTCACTAAAGGCACCTGTAAGAAGGGGCTTCGCCACATATTTTCAGAATAATGTGAGATACCAAGGACCAGCAAAAGGTTAGAAAAATCACAGGTAAATGTCAACAACATTGAAAATTTTTTGTGATTAAAAGCCTTCATTAATGGAGTTTAACCTTATTGTTACTGCCATCCCAAATCTCACAATATTTCTGAGCTCTAGAAGAGTTCAAGTTCACTTCTAAAATTTGAGGCAAGCTTTTTCTGCTTTAGGTACTACTGATGTTTTCAGCATGCCCACGTAATATTGCATGATTTGTCTTTAAAAGCACTTATCTACATCTCTGATTTGTGAAGTTGAAGAGTTTGTGAAGGCCCCAGTTTCAGGCAGTTCTGCTCTACTGAAAACTCAGCTAAGCTGTAAGTTAGCTGATATATTGTACACTAAAATGTATTGAGCAGCTATGTCTCTAGGGAAAATCTGGAAGAAGCAAAAGCTCAGTATTTTCTCCATTATAATACTAAAAATAATCCTCAGTTTGACAGGAATATTCTTAATAGAGAGAAATAGGCCTAATTGGCAATGCAGACACAGTACAGGTCCCAGTAAAAGAAAATGGAGAGATAGCTGAGGTTATTGGGCCAGTTTCAGCTTACATATTGATAAAGCTGACTTACAGGATCTCGGTGGTGGCAGACAGTGTAATACAGTCATTCATCAATGAGCACGTCATTCAGGGCAACTGATGAAGTGTTGAGAGAACTGAATATCTTAAGGGACAGATAATGCAGGGATGCAGAACCTTGATCAGTAAATCATCGCTCGTGCTGATACCTAATCCTGTTTTTCCTGTGAATTGCATTGTCCTTGCATGCACTGGAGTGACAGGCTCCACTAAGGATGTGAACAGAAATGAACAGAACTGGAAATTAAGCTGTCTACTTATCTAAGACCTGGTTCCTCCAGAGGGATCAGTCATGTTGGAATGGTACCTAGAAGTTTCCTTGGTATTTTAGGTTTTCTTTAAGGTGAAATGTTCAGTACATGCACTGCTCTCAGTCTAAGTGACTTACCACCTCCCTATTGACAAACATTAGTTGAAGATCAGATAGAAACCAAGACCTTTTCTTTATACTTCACCTTTGACCATTAAAAGCAATGCCGATTTTTTTCCCTTCTCAAAATTTGGAGCATATGGCTTTAACTCAGCATTTTGTCATTTTCCTGTCTGCAGGAAATTCGCTAGGTAGCCTCTTACTTGTCATGCAGAAGTCCTTCTTGTTTATTTCACCAAGTGTCTGGACAGAGTGTGCATGTGCTGAGGGACTCCAGAATACTGTCTTTAAATAAACAGAATATTGGTAAAAGTCCAACTTTAATTAAAGGGTGCCCAGCCTTTCTGAGGAGGTATTTTCTTTACAGCAGTGTTAATTAATCCATTATGTGGCAACATAAAACTAAAATACTGTGCTCACTGATCTCAGATGCCTCTTTAGAATGACTACACCTTCTCAGAATCCTTGTGAAGTTGGTATTACACACACCACCTTATGTTTGGGCAGTCTGTGGCAAAAAGATGAAATGAACTTCAAAACAAGCAGCTGGCATAGTGATTAATAATGTGCACAGTCTGGTGGAGAGAACTAAGTTGTATCTACTGCTCAGCCTTCCAGCCTTAATTTTTCTTTGGGGAAGGGTTTTCTATTCTAGCTGACTCAAAAGGAAAACAAGTGCATAGAACTTGTTTCAGCTTCCCCCTTATCCTCTTAGAAATCTAAACCCTGTACTGAGTTGAATGAAAACTCAGTTGTCAGCATTGAACTACTAATATATATATAATTCTTTATAGAGGGAACTGTTCAGTATCATGTTGTGTATTTTTCAGCACATACATACACTGGTGAGGCTGAACATCAGAGCCTGCTACTGTCATCTCTAAGAGCAGAAAAGGGTATCTATCAGGTTGAACTAACTAGCTGTTGAAATCCTCCTTGTTTTGGATATCCGTGCTGACCAAGAAATGATAGGGAAACCTAAGTTTATAATTATCTCGTTTGGAAATAATCATGTGCCGTACATCACACAGAACTTACAGAAATCGGTGAAGAAATGTGCAATTCCTTTACATGTCATAACACCATTTTATTAATCGTTTCCTACTGTTTACTCGTTTTTGTTTGTTTCCAGGGAAAAAAAAACCTCTTAACTTCCTTTAGTGACTATAGTGCACTTGAACTTCACTTTCAGCTAGGTATGCTACCTCTCAGAGTTTTTATTCACTCCATTAGTTAACAGCTTCTTGACTTGTATTTTGCAATGCAATCACAGGGCTTTTTCAGAAGGAGTCAGCAAAGCAATGCTACATACTCCTGTCCTCGTCAGAAGAACTGTTTGATTGACCGAACCAGTAGAAACCGCTGCCAACACTGTCGATTACAGAAATGCCTTGCTGTGGGGATGTCTCGAGATGGTAAGCTCTGCTAAACCCCACTTTAAGTGCAAAAAAAAAGGTAAAACAATACTGAATATACTATGTATTCACCTGAAATAACAAAGGATTTAAAAGATACTGTGCATCAAGCTGATTGTTGAGATCAGAGTGGTTTTTATGTTGAATATTTAGATAAATATCTATAACTTAGGGGACATACGAAGTTCCTGTTGGTTGGTTTTCTACTCCTCTGTTGTAGTTCACAGCTAAGTGCTTTGTCTTTGGTCACCTGAAGATGCAGTTTCTATTCTAATGTTAATACTTCCTCTCTGTATTCCTTCCAATTTATGACATCCTGTAGCTGCTTGTAACATTGCTATATTGACAGGGACCGGAACTGTTTTACAACATATACAGAAGTTAAATGTGTGTAAAATGAATAATGGAAAAAATACAAAGAGAAAATAAGTGAAGTGTTTTTTCAAGCCCATGCTGTGGTTTGCTTTTTTGTCAATGATAGATTTCTGAAGAAAGTGTGTTCCAGTGCTATTGAGCTCAAAGTTAAGCCTAGTGTAATGATGAAATCCACCTATCAGTAAAATGGAAGCATAAATAACTCTTATTAGAACTGGATTTGCAGCTGATATCAGTACACCTCCTCCAAAGATGTAACGAAGTTGCCCTCACTTACCCAATTTGAAGGTTTAATTCAAGTTCTCACCTGTATCTCACAGCAGTGTTGCATGTTGTATGCAACATACATGTGCATTACGCTACACACATGAGGCCCGAGGAAGGAGATAAGTTTTCAGGTTACATTTACTTCTTAAATTACATTGTCTTATTTTTTTACTGGGCTTGAAACTAAAAACTTGAAATGGTACTGACTAGTAATGACCAGTTCCTCAAGTATGTTTGCTTTTCTGTAAAAGCATATAAGGTGGTGGCCATCTTGTTAGACTGTGAGGCTTTTATAGCTGATGCTGGTCCCAGAAATCATGTAATGTATTCTTAGGAACTCTTAGGAATTACGAATATGCAGCTGGTAGTAATTGAACAGTTCATCTCTGCTCTTTCCTAGGTGGGATTTGAATGCTCAAGAGATGCACAGTCAGTACAGTGGATATAAAAGAAAATCTTCTAGGCACAGAAGTGGAAAGCTAATGAATTAAGCTAAAACAGTAACTTCTAACGGTCGTCTTCAGTAGCATGCTAAGTACATGGAAAGAGTACTTGATGCTGCTATGTTACCTGTAATTGACAGGAATAATTCTTAGGTCTACCCATTTTGCTGATTTACATTTTATACTGTGCCCTTCATTGTAGTATTAAAGACCCAAGACAGATAATATTCCCTACTGGAGTAATAGAAATGAAACGTTTCGTTTTTGCATTTCAGCTGTGAAGTTTGGTCGAATGTCAAAAAAGCAGAGGGACAGCCTGTATGCAGAGGTGCAGAAACATCGAATGCAGCAGCAGCAGCGAGATCATCAGCAGCAGCCAGGAGAGGCAGAACCACTAACACCAACGTACAATATCACCACCAATGGGTTAACAGAGCTACACGACGACCTCAGTAATTACATTGATGGGCATACCCCTGAAGGTAGCAAAGCAGACTCTGCAGTTAGCAGCTTCTACTTAGACATACAACCTTCTCCAGATCAGTCGGGTCTTGATATTAATGGAATCAAACCAGAACCAATATGTGACTACACACCAGCATCGGGCTTCTTCCCTTATTGTTCTTTTACAAATGGGGAGACCTCTCCAACTGTGTCCATGGCAGAATTAGGTAATGAGAGAGAAAAACTTCCATTGTAATTGTCTTGATAGTACCCATTGGATTAAATTGACACATGTAGCCAGGTGATAGCAAGAATGCTGCTTCAAAACAGCTGTGAGCATGTATGGGCATTCTTCTGTGTGCACAATACCCTAATTATTTGTGGTACATGGTTGAACACATTACAGAAGTGGACTAAAAGTCACATAAGCTTGTCGCTGATCAGATCTAGTAGTGTTGCTTTTGTTTTCAATTCATGTAGTAGAATGTTCTGAATACTTATTAACAAGATAATCTGTTGTGCTGAGGAAATGGAATATTTCTTTATTTGAAGATTTTTTTTAACATTTGATTGTTTTTTTATTAGCTCAACTCTGTTTCCTAACAAAAAGTTACATGGACCGTCTTTTATCTTTTTCTGCTCTTTATCTGTACCTGGGAAATGTGGAACCAAAACATCAGTCTGATCAGAGGGCAGTTCACCCTTCCAGTGGCTGAAGAGAATCTAGCTCCAGACTTGAGAAAAAATTTTGATGTAGCATGTTTTGACAACTTCCCTAAGATCCGTATAATGACCACATTAATTAGCACATTTTTCTTTAAACCTTTCCCTCAGTGATTAGTGATTACAGGGAGGCTGAATTCCATTACTATGACTTGTTAGCATCCAGGTCTTAAGTTAGAGAACACTGTGTCGAGTGGTCATAAGCAAACTGAAACAGGACATAAGAGAAATGGTTTTAAGATTCTAGTATTTATATAAGCAATCAGGAGTTCATAACGTTTATTTTGTTTAAATGACATTATTTTGCTACCTATTTCATTATGAAAACAACCTAAAAGTTGGAAGAATTGTCTATTTCAAGATAGTTTTGTCTCTTTTGTTGTTGGTTTTAATTAGAGGTAAGTATTTGATGAGAAATTCTGCTCGTTTTAGGTTATGTTCTTTTTGAGAATTTTTGCAGAGACGAAGGGACAAGATGTTTTATGTCCTTATGTTGCAGAATGCAGTTCTCTGCAATATTATATGTTGTGACAGCCAAAACATTGCATCTCACTTGAATTCAAATACCTTTAGTAAAACCAAAAAGAAAAAAAAATAAGATAAAAGCTATGCTTACAGCTTTGTCTCAGTAAGTGATTGTTAATGTTCTCATGGGAATTACTAGAAGATGAACATTAAAACTACAGAAAAAAAGAAAGGGCTTCTCCTTCGTAGGCCAGGTATTCAGTCTGGAGCACTAGTATAAGATAAGTTTGTCATATTCCTTACCCTTATTTACACAGTGCTTGCATTTAAACCCTATGGAACGTGATTTGGGTGCCCAGCATTGACATTGCCAAACAACCTCTGAAGAATGTTTGTCTTCTAGACTGAGGTTTCAATTTAGGAAGGTGGGGCTGTTCAATGAAAGTATTTAAGTGTGTGCTTAAATACAGTCCAGAACTGAGGCTGAGGTTAGTGAATAACATGGTAATATTTTACTTTCTGTATCCTGCAAGGGCATAGGAATAATGCTGTCAGATGCTGACAGTGAGAAAAATAAATGTTTAAGTACACACTGGTAAACAAATATTGCACTGAAATACACCAAAGCTATACGCCCATGTTCACGATCACCAGTCTTACTCAGCTTCCACAAGTAGTGGGACACCACCCACTAGATCAGGGTGCTCAAAACTCCATCCAGCCTGGCCTTGAGCACTTCTAGGGATGGGGCATCCACAGTTTCTTCCTAATATCTAATCTAAACCTATCCTCTTTTAGTTTACAGCCACTACTCCTTGTCCTGTCGCTACACATAAGGGATAGAGTCCTTTATCTACCCGTTACCCCCACATCCTTCTCTGCAGGGCTGCTCTCAGCTCCACTCATCACCCAATCTGAACTGATGTTTTGGGATTGCCCCCACTCAGATGCAGGATCTTGCACTTGTGGCTTTAGGCTTTTCCTTTTAGTGGTGGTCTAATCTGCAGAAGTACCAACTGCAGAGACAGGTCTACTTGCCGTGTGCTAAAATACAAGACAAGACACATACAAAGAGTCAGGGTAGAAAAGAAAGATTTTTAAGACTGAATATAATTCATAGCATAATTCTTAGCCCAGGTTTCAAAGCTGGCTTTTTTTTACTAAAAGCAGCAAGACCACTTACTGAATTGACAGCAGTTGGAATGATCCCAGGTTTCACTGAGTTTTGCCTTTATCTCTCAAGCTTTTTGATCTTGCAAGCTTTCTTTTGCACCCACTGCCATCTAGGAAGTAAGTTTGTCCCAAATACAGTATTCTTTATTCAAAAATAAATTAAAGTTCACCAAAATATCTTACAGACTAGTGAAAGGATTCTGCTTTGTGTAACTATTAAAATCTCAGAGCTGCATTGTGAGTGTGTGTGAGGGGTGTGTGTGTGTACAGAGTGCCCTCTAATGGCTGCATTGGGCCCATTAGGAGCTAGGCAAGGTATGTTAAGATCCAGAATTGTTTTGTTTACTGCAGTGTTAGCAGTTTGCATTGATTTATTTTTAAGGAAAAAAAAAATCCAAGGAGATATTCAGTTAAAGCATTTCTTCTAACACCTAAGCTTTCCTGCAGTTCCCAGTTGCAAGTGGAATATGTTCATTTTCTCATGTCTGAAGGTATATCTTTGCATTTTTAATGTGTGTTACTTTCTGGTCTTTCTTTTAGAACATCTTGCACAGAATATTTCCAAGTCTCACATGGAAACTTGCCAGTACTTGAGAGAGGAGCTACAGCAGATAACATGGCAGACTTTTCTGCAGGAAGAAATTGAGAACTATCAGAACAAGGTATAAAAGCATGCTAAACTGTGGCATGCTTTTTTAAAGCATGGTATTTCCATAACACACTGCAAAATTCACTTTTTCACTGCTTTGTGTTCACTATCGGGAATGTACATTTATGTGTGTTTTCAAGACAAAAATGAAACAAAAAACCTGCTAGAATCATACTGAGAAAGGTGGTTGCAATTTGGTTTGTGATTTTGTATTTATGATTTTAACCATAAATATGGGGAAATGTAAAGCTCTGGAAGTATATTTGTCTGTTATTGATAAAATTGGATAAGAAACTAGAGAATTTTTTTTCACTCCAACATGGCATGTTATTTACTGTTATTACACTGTAATCTCCCTAATCATTCCCACTTCCCCCCCCACCCTCCAACAACAACAACAACAACAACAAACTACTTTGAAGCACCAGATTATAACTGTAGAGTCCTTTACAGCTGACCTGTGAAATACTGATCAATACCAGGACATGCATCAGTCTTACTTTGTTTCCATTCCTATCTGGTAATTGAAAACCTGAATAGGAGCCAGTCAAAAAGCCATTGGCTTGTTTGACACTTCATAATTTTGCATGATGTATTTTGTTTTGATATTACAAACTCAGAACTTAGATTTCCTGCCTTTGGTGCCTGGTTGTATCCCTGATTCATTCTATAATTGTCACAGTGTTTCAGTTTCACCTGTAGAACAGCAGCAGAGTGCTGCCATGCCTCCAGTAGGTACTACAAGATTTATCCAGTCCTTGTATTTCCATTATGCCTTCCATGCACACACCACTGCCAAGTGGCTACTTTTGGAAAACTATCTTGAGAAGCACTATTAAAGCACATCTGAATATTTTTTTTCATTTCAACAACAAAAAAAATACTTAACCTTTAAGAATATTTTTTTCCACTTGTTAGGTACTCTCATTCTGAATTATCATTAACATCTGAGAAGAACACTAATTGCATGCCTTCTTTGTTATTAACAAGATGATCTTCATATACGTATACTTTATATGTATCCTTATGAAGACCAGCTTGTTAGATAATTTACATTCAGTACAAAAAAGAGAAGTTGATAGGAAAAATGTGATTATGCACTGCTAGCATAAGTTGGTATTTTCTTTTGATGCAGTAAGTAGAATTACCACTGAAATCACCGGCATCACTATACTTAGATTTTTTTGGCTTATGAAATAAAAATACTGCAACTTAGATCTCTCTGCCATCACTGAAGAAGTTTTACATGCTTGCATTTTCATTTATCCTCATGAGGCTTTGACTTTGAGGTTAACGCTCCTTTTCTTACAAGCAGACTGTAGCCAGGACTGCTGAAGAGCATTTGCTCTGCTTAGTTTTTGAGCTAAGTCTTACTGTATGAAAACGAGCTTTCCAAACTTTAATTAGTAACTTTTCAATTTTTCTTCTCTCTCAAACAGCAAAGGGAGGTAATGTGGCAATTATGCGCAGTCAAAATAACAGAAGCTATACAGTATGTAGTGGAATTTGCCAAACGCATTGATGGCTTTATGGAACTGTGTCAAAATGATCAAATTGTGCTTTTAAAAGCAGGTATGTGGGTGAATTTTAAGGTCTACTTCTATTAGTTTTGACTGAGGACAGTGTTACCTATATAGAGTGATTATGTATATATATAAGTATATATATACACGTGTTGTACAATGATAATTTAAAATAATACAAGAAAAAAAACTCCATGTCTTTGTTTGAAGTAATATGCTTTCTTAGTTTCTCTACACGTTCCATGTAGTGGAAGGTGTCCTTGCTTGTGGCAGGGAGACTGGAACTTGATGATCTTTATGATTTCTTCCACCTCAAACCATTCTATGATTCTATGATGAGTTCAAGTCTGCATATGAAATTTTCATTGTGAACTACAGGAGCAATTAAGTGTGAAAGAATGAAGACATTGGATCCTTTTTTTTTTATTATTTGGCCTATGAATAGTGAATAATATATTTCAAGTTAAAGTCCAGATGGTTCAACGCAGGATGCTGTAGAAGTAATGCAGTTTACAGATATTGAACAAAGCTGTCAAAGCTTCATGAGTAAAGATCTAAACGAACTGCTTTGACTTCAGAGACTTCATTATTCTAATAAAAATATTTATTAGCATTAACTAAGTTACTTTAGCAAAAACTAGTAAAGGACTTTATGGGAAATAATTTCATTGTACTATAAAATCAAGTTACTCTTTGTTACACCACAGAAACCTACTGCCCTAGTCAATCTATGCTGAAGGCAGAGCACCAGGGAATTTTTATCTCACTTCTTGCAACTGAAGTCTCTATTTAAACAGTCAAACATACATTGTTTCTGTTTTAGGGTCTTTAGAGGTTGTGTTCATCAGAATGTGCCGTGCCTTTGACTCCCAGAACAACACAGTCTACTTTGATGGCAAGTATGCTAGCCCAGAGGTTTTCAAGTCCTTAGGTAAGGAAATACCAAGTGTTGTATTTTAAAACCACACAAAGAAACAATAAGGTAGAAAAGCATAAGACAGCTGCCTTGAAAAAAAATAGAGACTGTAGTATTCAAATAAAAAAACAGTTGAAAAGTTCAAACTGCTTATTTTGTAAGTGATTGTGCCAGCTCTGTTTGAGGCCAAGCTGATTTCAGGAGTTAGAACATCTTAGCTCCTTGCAATGCAGGACTATTGGTATTGAAATCCAGCACTTTCCTTACTTAGATCAGGGTAGAGCAGTTTGGAGATACTTGTAAACAACAGAAGCCCAGATGTCTTAACTCATGTAAAGCTTGATGTATCCAGTTGAAAAGAAAGAGAAACTTTAAATTTAACTTTAGATATATTGACATTACTGCTCTGAAGTAATATGCAAAATCTAGTTATTTGCAGGTAAAATACTGAAATACTCTAATTCTTTTTCTTTTTTAATTAAACCATTGTTTACCTTTTTATTTCTTCTTTTCTGCATACTTATGCTCATTTTAAAAGGAAGAGTTTAATTGGGTATAGATTTGGGATGTAAGCCCTTCTGGAGGGCAGTGAAAAATGACAGTAGCAATATGGCAGTGAAGAAAGCCGTACAATTACTGAAGTGCTCTCTGCCTTTTCAAAACACCTCAAGATATTAGATTAGAAAGAGTATTAAAGTTGGATCGTTTCTACTCAGAAACAATTCAGAGAATGCAGTATCAGATATGGGCTTCTATCTGCTATTAGTTCCAATGAAACAAAACTTTCAGCTGCTACCGAGTACACTCAGAAATTTAAGCTGAGCTGGGGGCTGAGATCTGCAGAGGAGAACCCTATTCCAACAGAGGTTGCAATCCCTTTCATAGCAAGGCGCAGCTTTTGTGTACTGCATAACAGCATGTGTAACAGCAGCAGTAACCTGACTTACACCTGCGTGAGCAAGAGAATGGATGAAAGGAGGCACAGTTCTTTTTCTGCATGAAAAACTTTCAGACCTTCGCTTCTCCTTTTGCTCCTGCATGTACCTTGTATGCCTCTTCCCCCTCCCTCTTCTGTGTGCTCAGTATTCATAAAATCGGCATTTCTCAAGTATACATTTCAAACATCCAGTCCACAGTAACATGAGAAAGTTTCATGGAGAAAGGCAACAAAGCCAAAACAATGTTGAGCTTGAAAATGGTTTGGTTTTCATCTATATTTACCCCAGAAGCACAGAAAAGATGCAATGCACAAAATCTTCAAAAAAACGGTTGCTAGGATGTGATAGCTGGGGACTTGTGGGAATGGGGTGAAGTTCAAGCATAACTGAGATCTCATCAGTCCTCAAGGAGTAAAGCATTTACCTATTAAGTATTTTACATCCATTTTTCATCTAAATCAGCAACTGTGTAGCTTTGAAGTAATTTTAAACAGTTTGGCATGAGCTGTACCTTCTTTTTGGCAGGTTGTGAAGACTTCATTAGTTTTGTGTTTGAATTTGGAAAAAGTTTATGTTCTATGCACCTGACAGAAGATGAGATAGCTTTGTTTTCTGCATTTGTTTTAATGTCAGCAGGTAAGAGAGAGAGTATTTATTCTAGGTTTCTATGGCAGAGTTCACTTTTATTTTAATGTATTTTTAAATAGTGCTATCATACAGCATGCAATGTCCACATCTTTTTGATCCAGTGCCAGCTCAGATCTGTTAAGTAGGGTTGCTGTTTTGACATGGAACAAATGTACTGAGGTGGTTGCATACCATGGTAGCTTAGGTATCTGTCACCTCTGTGAAACCAGGTACTGGGAATTCTGGTGCCAGACATACAAGAGTCAGCCTGGGTTTGCTATAGCCGTGAATGAAGTAACTTCATCTCAAACAGATTCACGCACTTCCCCAGGTACTGGGAAGGCTTACCAGGTTGGGTGAAACAAAATATTAGTGCAGAAATTCAGTTTGTGTCTGACATAACACCCAAGGAAAAATACAGTTTTAAACCATCACAGGAATAAATTCTGGAGGAATCTATTAGCAACAGTGAGTTTTACTACATCATAAATACATTCTCATGCTGTTTGCCATGCTGGAAATATGTTTGCCTTGTCTCTTTAGTATTTAAGCCACAGAATCACTCAGTTCTGCCACAGATGTAGTACCTAATACGTCTTTTCTGCTAGAAGTTTAGGAGCACTTTTTTAATAGCTGAATATTTGCTTCTGATTTTTCTGTATGCCACTGTAGATCTTAGTAAGAAGATCCACTCCAACTGCTTGTTCATTATGTGATCTATGCATTTCTCACTAAAAGGGGGCTAGCTTCATTTTGTAAATATCCTGCATTTTAAAGAACTTATTAGCAAATAATTAATGAATCTTATTCAGATATGCTGCAATCTTCTTATTGAAGGCTTCATAAAAGTAATTTTAAATGCAAGTAATAAATGTCTTCCAAAAGCTATTAATTTTGAAACTCATTTCCTATGTAAAACTGTTGAAGTGGAAGGAAGGTTGCAAATAGGAAAAATGAATTGGTAACAGACTATTTCCTGACGCACCGTGACTGATGTATGCACTACTAGAGGTGTTAACTTCATTTGTATTTAGATCGTTCATGGCTTCAGGAGAAGGTAAAAATTGAAAAACTCCAACAGAAGATCCAGCTAGCACTTCAGCATGTCCTACAGAAGAACCACCGAGAAGATGGAATTCTAACAAAGGTACAAATCATATCGTGCCATCTCTCGTGACTGTGAAAGCACACTTTCTTATGAATAGTGTAAAAGCTTCTGTGCAGTATTTTTTTAATTTATAAACCCAGAATTCTTTGTTCACAATCAAGGTTCTTAGCTGAAATCATTTGCTAAAAATAAGAAAGGGAGAAAGAATGATGTACGAGGAATATGCCTGATAAAGGTCTGAAAATATTTTTCATGTTGAACTAAATGAAAAGCCATCAACGTTTTTATCCTGTTTCTCTTAATAACACTTCTGCCACACAGAGCATTGTTTCTACTACATGTAAGATTAAATCTTACGAAACCTGTGTCCACATGACAACTAGCTTGTGATGGCACACAGTACCCAAACCTTATTTCTCAGTACTTCATGAGAAGTTCTGCACAAGCCTTTTTCTCAGCAGTTCTTCTAAGTATTGGTGGCTAGGGAAGAGAAAAAAAATACTACATTATTATGGTAATCTCAAGTGTCTTCACTTAGGTGTTCAAAATGCAGAGGCAGTGTGAAGGCACTTCCTTGCAGATGTAGTTCCTTTCAGAATTCCACACAGCAGGGAAGCTCATGCTTAGTTTCACAACACAGAATTAATTACGCTTAGACTGACTACAATTAGAAGCAGGACAGTACAGCCCAGTATGAAGAGCTGGGCTTTCCAGATTGTCCTCATTTCATAGCTTGTATAATTATTTTCCCAGCATATGCTTTGCATTTCTTTGCTAGAAGGAGGTTTCTTCCAGGTGCTTTGATACAAATATGTACTCACTAAGTTCAGTGAGCACCCTAGTCCTATTTTTTCAAGGACAAATTGTTCTGATCTGTTTAATACAATTTTATCTTTTACCTTTATTTGGCATAAGTGAAAATAGCCTAATCTATTGTATTGCAAGTTCCCTCCGTAATGTAGCGTATTTAAGAATAATCAAGCACACCTTCTTCCAAGAGAATTACTAAGTTGCATGAGTAAAGATTCAGCCATGAAATAGTTCCACAGCGATCTGGAGCTTGACATCGCTTACCTAGGTAGGGAAGTGATACATTTTCTTAGAGACCTAAAGAAAAAGTTATTTCACAGATAGCATTAATACATTACTCAGTAGGTTTTTAGTGGCTTCTTTATCTCTTGTTTTTGTTTTTAATATACCAAACTTAATCATTATTACACATCTGATATGTCATTGTTAAAGCAAACACCTGAAGTGTGCTCAGATTGCTTGAGAGAATTCTAACCCTGAGCTCAAGACTGGGAGGCCTTGTTCCATATATGACTGTGTGACTTCTGTTCATTTTTTTACAGTTAATATGCAAAGTGTCTACTTTAAGAGCACTGTGTGGACGACATACAGAAAAGCTTATCGCATTTAAAGCAATATACCCAGACATTGTACGACTTCATTTTCCTCCACTTTACAAGGAGCTGTTCACTTCAGAATTTGAGCCAGCAATGCAAATTGATGGGTAAACGTATCACCTAAGCACTTCTAGAATGTCTGAAGTACAAACATTAAAACAAAAGAAAGGAAAAGATTAAAAAAAAAAGAGAAAAAAAAAAGTAAAGAAAACCAAGACACTTTATATGGCCCTGCACAGACCTAGGGAGCCAACACACTGCACATCTCTTGGCGGTCCGGGTCAGGCGAAGGATGGGAAACAATGAAACAAAGTTGAACTTGTTTTTCTCATGCATATGATTTCCATTTTGCCTACAAATATGGACCCTTTTTCTGTCTCAACTTCTCAATCCTTGACCTCTGTTTACACAGACTGAGGGTACTAGTATCAGAAGGTTGCTTTCTCTTGTAGTTCACTGCCCAGACTTCTGACAGAACAATCAATTTGTTGATCAGAACCAGAGAGTCCACCTAGTAATCAGCGACTGGTGTGCATTGCAGAGATTTAAGCATCAGTTTGCACAACTTGCTCATTGTTTCATGAAGGACGATTTTTTTCACCTACCACTGTTTGCCAGTAGACAGAACGGCATGAAAAGGGTCCATAGCAATAGCAACAATAGCATTATAATATATTACAGGGTAAATGGGCATGAAGACTATATATAGCAAAAGAGATATTGTTTATATATTGTTTTAATTAATATAAAATGTAGTTACTGGTATAGCTTTTCTTGTTGAATTGATAAGGCACTTTCATTTTGCACCTTTTTCTTTAAATTAAATGCTAGCGTGTTCATTGTTGTGTTGCATGTGCACCAGAAATTCAAGTTTAACTGAAAAAGGTTTTTGGCAGGTACTGGTACATTGGGAGGTATTTATGCTGCTGTTTTCCATGTTACTTTTAAGGAGAGGCTGGTCATATCCTGAAATGGTTAAACAGATTTAAAAAAAAAAAAAAAAAAAAAGGAAATTTTCTAAATTAAAATCTGATCAACTGTTAATTTAGCAAGTATTTTTCATTTCAAATCTTTCAAATCTGGATGTTTAAAATTACACACCTAGATTCAGATTTAGGCACAGCAAAAGCCTCATTTTCAAAGGTGCTGAGTTTCTGTGATCAAATTAGCAATTACAGATCACTTACAGATAGAATAATGTGTCATCCTTGAAAATCAGGCTAGTAAAGTGTACAACTACCCACCATAAATCCAGATTTGAAGGTATTTACTCAAGTCTGTATCTGCAGCAAAAGTATGTGTGTGACATGTATGTGGAAAGCCAATTTTTATACATAATGTTACATACTTTTGTACTCTATATTGTAAACAATGCATTCAAAATTCCAAACTATGTCCTATCAAAATTCGTAGGTTTGTTTCTGTTTTAGGTGAGATTAAAACCCATGTTCTTCAAACATCCAGCAGTTCTATTTAAAGTAGCTGAATGGAGTGCTGACCTTGCTCTCATTATTTACATACATGCACTTTAAAGTTTAACAAATGAGGAAAGACTAACATAAAGTACCATTCCGTGTAGAGTACTGTCTCTGAGTAAACTTAGCAAGATTAGAAATTAAACCAAGTTCTGAAGGGAACAGATCCACAGTGAACAATATCTCAAAATAAACTGTGACTGTTTGAGCCAGAGGTTTATAATTGCTTTGGATGAGATGAGGAAATACAACCAGGAGGCTTGTAGGCCTGTGTGCCTGCAAGTTTCTGATGAAATATGTTGCAAGGAAAAAAAAAAAAATAAGAGAAGGGGAGAAAAAAAAAAAAAGAAAAAGAAAAAGAATGTGCTCCACTCCTGTAATTTCCAAAAATCTCTTACATGTAGTCACTGAGAAGTAACACTGAACTGAACAGAAGAACAGAAGCACACTGAAGAATAACTATTTTAGAGGTAGAATTAGGCTAGTAGTTTAAAACAGAAAGTTTTACTCTATGATTTGGAAATTTCACCTTTGGGATCAAATTGAGCCACAGAACCACAACATCTATGAAAGTGTTTCATCATAGTGCTTGGCTCTCATCCATTTATATGGTTCAAAATTGAGATGAACACGGCATCTCTACCCTTCAAAGCAGTGTGGCCCTGGAGAATGGCACAGGAACACCTGCACCTCTGTGAGTACCTGGATGGAGGCACGGGTAGGCTTTTGGAAGCCAGCCTCATGCTGCTCCATCCTGCTGCTCCAAGGAGGCAGCTCACAGCTCCGCACACTGACTGCATTCTTGCTGATAGACTTTTCCTAGAATCATTGTTTACTTTACTGGAGTAGCTGGCATGATACGGTACTTTGATTCCAATACGTGCTCCTATTTTTAAAGCAATCTTTTTAACAAACATGTTTTCTGAATATGACCAGCCCTAGGTGCTAGTCCTTTAAAGATCAACTAAACTTAATTTCAGTATCAACTAATGAATAATGAGGTAAGATACGTACTTTTTTAGAGAGTAAAATACAGCTCCTAATTTGACAATAAGTAGACTACCAGGCAAAGTACTTTGGGATTAATTTTCAGTCACATCCTTTACTTATCTATTCCTGATTAATACTACTACTTTAGCAGGCCTGTAGATACCAGTGGTTTGGTTTGGTATCTAATTCAGAGTATTTACACCCATAAGTTATTGACAACAGAGAATTTTGGAGTATTTAATAATAAAATACATAACTGTAGAAAGGTTCCACATGGGCCTTAGTTGAAAGCCTGTTGTATCCAGGATTGGCTTGTGACATGATCTTCACAGATTCCAGGCTGTGCAGCACCTACGTGCTGTCATTTTTGTCAAGGGGAGCTCCTGTGGACTACTAGCACCTTTTAAAATCAGGCTGTGTGTACATACCCCAGTAAGTCTGCCTTCCTGAACACAGCTAGCAGCCACTTGGCAAGAGACTATTACTCGTTTCGTTTTGCTTGGCATAGAGAGGGGAAAAAGGGGATACAGCATGGCAGACATACTGAAAAGACTGCAGTTGCCTATGAGGCAAAGGGGATGTCAAATAGCCTCAGAGTGGCTGGTCAGAATGGCTGCCATGGAAGAACCTGGTGCAGCAGTGGAAATGCACTCTGCAGAACCTCTGCGACTATGGCCTGGTGTCAGACAATCAACACAATATTCAGTTAAAAAAAACATATTGGAAGTAAGTGGATATTCACACAAGTATTTTCATGATCTGTCCAGCTGACAACAAACAAAAATGTGAGGACAGCTGAAGACAAAGTAGTACATTGCTTTTGAATGATTGTACGCTAGAGTCTGCGAAGAGATTTTCATTGGGTTTTCATCTATCCACAGAGATGTTCCTGGGCTTTCTAGAAAAGAGATAGTACAGTATACCATTTGAACTACCCTAATATACTTCAACATCTCTAACATTGATTGACTCTTAAACACGATGGGATTAGGAGAAAAGGAAGGCTGTTCTTAAGTTTGGTTGCTCTTTATTAAAGCTTATCTATCTTAGTATGGATACCAAGATCTCTGTGTGTGTATGTGCACCTGTGTGTGTGAGAGAGAGTACCGTTGTGTGCGCACATGAATACATGTGTGGGTGTGTGTGAGTGGCTGCTTCTAGGCTGGTAAGTGTCAATGGAGAAAAAGAAAATGTATTCAAAATACTTAAGTCAAAAATAGAAGGTGAAAAAAAGATTTATTCTATACAAAGCCTTGTCTGGACCACTTTAGAGAGACTTCTATTTTTTTAACCCTTCTATAAATATTTGATGGCACTTGAAATATTCCTGCAATAAAATGTGATTTGTGTAAACATTAAAAAAAAAAAAAAAGATTTTGTAATGTGAAACAATGAAAGAAAGTAATGTAATTTTTCTAAAAAACAGAAAAAAAAAACAAATGAACGAACTTTGTATTATTTTCTTGATGGAATTTGTCTATTTGTCTTTGGAAAACTTTTTATTTCATTGAATGTGCCATAGTAGAGGTGTGTGTTTCTTTTTCTTTTCTTTTTTTTTTTTTTTTCTTCATTTTTTACATTGTAGATTTAAGGAATAGCTGTGTTCCGACATTCCAAAATGCAAGATGACATAGCAGTCATGATTAAAAGGTTTGATTAGTAAGCTTCAATCATTGTTGCTTTTTTTGCACATGTTCTTCATTCCTCTACAGTGCAATATGTACATAGAGCACTTGCGGGTGTAACCTTGATCCCTCAGGGAAAAATACATATTTGTACAGGATTTTTTTTTCCTTTTTTTTTTTTTCCTTTTTTTTCCTTTTTTTTTTTTTTTTTTTTTTTTTTTGCTAAGGAATGTCGATTGAATCACTTGTCTGTTGTGGAGGGGCAGCCAGATAATAATCCTAAACCACTGTCACAAAACTTTGATGGTTTAATAATTTTGTGCCCTTTTATTATTTAAAAAGAAAAATAAAAGTTATTTTCTGACAGTTCTTTGTGCTGATTGGTGAAAAAAAGGGTAAATATATAAGCACCTTATGATTGACTTAACTGTGAATGACAATCCATCTCGTTATCAACAACAGAAGCCCTATCGTTTTGGAGCTGGGGTTAAGAGTCAGAAACTAATGTGCTCAGGGATCTTCTAAAACTCTTCAACAGGGTGGCCAGTACTACTGGTGGGACAAATTATTTTAAAAAAAGAAAAAAAAGAAAAAAAAAAAGAAAAAAAATGCGAGTATTTCTTCCTTTCCCTTCTCCCTCTCCCCACAGGCACAAAAAAACTGGACAGATTTCTTTTTTAACCAAATGCTCAATGTGTGCCTCATTCTGTGATGCAGTCTTGTAGCATATCTGCTCATTGGTCTTTATTCTGTAAAAAACAAAATAGTCCAAACGATACAAAGGTTTTGCAATTGTATTTAAGAAAGGAAATTAATGCTGGCCCATTAATAGTTTACAACTGAAATTTAATTTAAACAACCTCTGGATGTTTTTATAGCCATTGGAGTGTTTTTCCAAATTAATTTCAATGTTTTGCAATAGAAGATTGATTTTCAGTATTTAAATGATTGTCAAACGAAACAAAGCAGTTTATGGTAGTACAATATGACTGGAAAGGCAATTATTAGATTTTGCAATAATGTCATATAAACTATGAGAACAACAACAGTTTAGTTTAGACTTGTCTCTCACTGTCGCTTATGCTTCATGGTATAGCAAAAAAAAAAAAAAAAAGACTGGAAGGAAACGAAAAGACTGAAGTCATTTTCGTATCTCGTACATCAATTGCAGCAATTTAAAATGATCACAACAGTTGCAAAAAACAGCAAAATCTATTAAGTGTATAAGTGCCAAATTGTGTGATTCGGGGAGCCTATCGCAATTAGTCTTGTTCTGTGACTTTACATTCTTTTGAAAATGCAAGTAGGGAAGTAAATAAGCAACTGTGTACAAAGTGAGCAAGATTTCAGGACTTCAGTTAGATCAGGAAGAGAGTGAAATTCTCTGAAAAATGAGTGAAAACCATGGCTTTTTTCTTGCAAAAAATATCAGTTCTCCAGTATCTTAGGTTGAGGTTTTGGATTTTTTTTTCACTGGATTTGTGGCTTCCATTTGTTTACTTTATGTTGCTAATAATTAGGGAAACCTTTCTCAATATTTCCCAAGCTGACACTCTAGCTTAGCTTGGAATGGCCTTCTAAGGCAGATGTTGCTTAGCAACTGTGACTCTTGATTAGTTGGTGTCCTGGTATCATCACTACAAGAAAATCCCCGCTACTGTTGATTCCCAACAGAAACATCATCTTTCACATACTTGCTGATCAGTGAAACATACCGTTAATTTGTGCAATCTACACATAACTTTGTAGGGGGTGATCCAAACATGACAGTATCTTCTTTTGGGCTCTAAGGATTGACACAGACATTCCCCAGTCTGTACTTGATGAACAAACAGGTTGCCAGTCCAAGCTGTGGAAACAACGTATGATTTTTTCCTGCAAATTCTTGAAGTCCCCAAGTAGATAAATTTATTAATACAAATGTTAGAAACAGCACTTACTATCCAGTATCCCAAAATAAGAAGCAATTTGCTCTTAGTATTTAGTGTGATCTGAAATTCTACCTGTGCTAGCTGATTTAGATTGCAAAGAGGAAGCATCTTTATTTATTTTCCTTAGCTGGAGATCAGTAACTACTCAAAATAGATCTTCATCATAAATGCTAACATTACTTTAAAAGTTGCATTCCATGAATATATTTGAATTTTAACCTGCTATTTTATTTTTGCTTAAATATTCCTGTCAGTAAATCATTTGGTGGAAATGAGGGCAAATGTATAAGAATACCAAATACAATAACAACAACAAAAAGTTTAAAATGAGTATTTGTCAAAAAATTGTTGCAGTATGTGCTTTATTCCTAGTACTGTGTTAATAGCTCACTAAACAATGCTAAGTCACTGGACTTGAGGGGAAGAATATCTAACATGTAGGTTAATATACTGTCTATTTTTGGAACTTTATTCAGGTACTAAATAGAACTTTAACATCAAAATAAAAGCTGTATTCTACCTATTTCATATGTAATGTTGCTGTTTGTCCTCTTTTGGGTTGTTTTTTTTTTTGCCTTTATCATCGGTAGAATATAGCAATAACTTTATAGCAATAAGTAGGCTATCCAAATAAGAAATAAAACATGATAAAGGCTTCAGATCAGTATCTGTAAGTTTTGTTCTGCCACAATATTCACTTTTTTGTCTTCCCTCATAATCTCATTACTTCTTCAAGCTGAACTTTACAATCAAGTTATTCAACTTGACATGTGACACCACACCTTTTTGTTAACACCTGCATGTTTTCAGTGTTTATCATGTCCTATGTACACTTGTTTTCCTGTAAGTCAGTGTTTCTCAAGCTTTCTGAAAGCACAGTCCCTCGGGGCTATATTTTTTCATAGGGCTCTATATGTTGGAACTGACGTACGTCGTTTTTCTGGGTTAGGCAGTGAGAACCAGCTGGAATTACCGGCTGTCTTTTCTAACGAAGCAACCGAGCTGCTGCTGGTATTGAGTAGTGGTAACTCTATGGCTTCTGCAACAGCCAACTGCCAGCTCTTCCTGCTCCTCCTCGCTGGGAGCTGAGCTGCATGCAGTGAGCAGGATGAGCTCCCTGCCCAGCATGCTTGTCTGCAGTGGTGAACAGAGCCGCTACAATTGACACAGAACCGAGCTATGTTTGCCTGACATACAGTTTTTGTGATAGTAATCTGAACACTTCAGCAACTTTCAAGCGGTTGTGACTTTCAGTTTGAGAAACACTACCCTAAATTACCCCACAGAGTCTTAATGTAAATGCATAAACTTTACAGGAATTTGCAATCTGTAATGCTATCATATCTAATGCAGAGAATTCATAAGCAATACAGTGAATTTTATTTCACAAAAAGGCATACGTACTGTACACTTTTCTAAATCCAAAATGTTCCTCATTTCTACATTGATTTAGAAACAAGCTACAGAACAGTGGTGAATATTTGAAATATTAGGACATTAACTGGCTGCTTCTATATATGTAACTGTACTGTCTTGCCTGCTCCTTTTCTGGAGATGTGTTTTTGTATTGGACGTTTGGGCCAATGGGAGGCTTCAAGCTACAATGTATTTTCCCAGTTTAAATATATTTAACATATGACAAACCCCAGACAAGGCTTTTTAAAATGTATAAAGAACTGCAGTGTTAGGTGGTTTATTTGCAAACTGTTTTCAATGTTGTCCATTTTTATGGCACCTTTAACAATATTCTTGTTTCCAAAGTACAAAAAAGGTTAAAAAATACTCTAGCCATAACTGAATGTCAAGCAATAAAAACAAATGACTTTTTGTGCATAGATTTAAAAGAAATACAAGTTTTAGACATCTGCATGTAAATGCAATCTCTTGTTTACTGCTTTCTTAAACTTGAGCAACTGATTCCTTATTTTACTACTAATTTAAGGACTTGTAATGGCCTGTAAACATTTTATCTTGCTCTATTCTTTCAACTCTTAACTTCGTCTCTGCTTTGGAGTCATAATATTTAATGTTGTTCTGCTCACCTCTATACAGTTAACTTTTTGCTTTCATTCTGTATAGATAAAGTTATACTATAAACAGCCTACACAGTGCAAATATTTATCTGTTTATCAAATACCACATTATGCTGTATAATATCTGTTTTACTATATAATCTATTTTAGACATAGCTGTTTAGAACTAGAGTGTGCTATTTTTGTGTTTTTCTGATGTGTGGTGCTAGATAAGTTACTTTTGTGAACAAAAGCAAACAAAAACCCCTTTTATTCCTAGACAATACCACCTTTGGGTCTTGTTAATTTCACTGAGTATAACTATATATAAATATATATATATTTGTGTATATATATATATATACACCTACATATGCCCAACAAGTACCTGTATCAGCGTACAAGATTTGGGACATGGTTCTCTCTTTAAATGCATAGTGTCATTATATAAATTATTCTATAGTATATTTAATAAGGAGAAAATTACTTCACCGGTACAGATACTTGATATCAAATGTAGAATTTTTTTCTACATTATTAACATTAATAAAAATGTTCTGTCCAGTTTGTTATCTTTTCGGTTACTAAAGCAGTCTGCCTGTGTTGTATCAGAAAAAACAAAAGCATCAAATCTACAAGAATAAAGCATTTACAATATGCTGTCTGTCTGAAAGGGAGGTAGTTATTTGGCTGTTCGGAGAGTACTATCTGGTTGTGGCATCTGATATTTATTGGTGATGTTCTGATGGGTGCCTTCCTCCCTCTTCACTTTAAATAGGATCTGCACACACTCAAACTGTGGATGTCACTAGGCCATGCCTACACACTTAACTCCAGTTACTGTAAATAGGAATTTTCTGTAAATCTTCCGTGACAGATTGATGGCTAAATTCAGTCCTTGGGTATGCTTTATAAATCGTGCATACATATCTGAGGTCAGCCATTAGCAACTGAAGTTAACTAAGAAGTGGAATTTGCAACATTCTGTCAGGTCTGGGGGTTTTGTTTTTATTTTTCATGTATACCTTAATTTACATAGTCACGTACCCTTAAAATTATTCCTGTCCCCTGTTCCTTTCATTCTAGATACTGTTTCGTGTTAATTCTTAAAAACTGATGGATATCAAATATCTAACTAAGGAGGTAATTAACCTTTTAAATATTTATTAGAATTTTTCTGTAATATTACTGAATTTATAAGATCTTTAGCAAAGATTTTTGAGCAATTTATTAAATACAATTGTTTCTGTTTACTGCACTTTTTGATAATAGAAGGTAGTGAATTTTAAAGCCATGATTCTTGGCTTCCATGCACTGCTTTTATACCCTCAATTCAAGGAATATATATATATAAATAATTTTTTTTAAACAGCAAACATACTGTTGTCCTGAAAATAAAATACAAACTTTACTGCACCGTGGGTATATTTTCATAAGTGGAATGTTTAATTGCAAACACTATCAGGATAATGATAAAAACCTCTTGAAGCTACAATCTTATTTAAATATAAGCCATGACAATTTTATTTTCCCTTGTTGATTTAAGTCACCTTTTGATATTTTAAAAAAGAAAAGGAGTCGCACTTAAATTTGTATTTACTAACTTATGCGTAATGCTAGGAACAAGTTCTTCCTATTATTTTAATTTTAATAGTTTGATATCTTTATGCAAAACCATTTGGTTAACATATTTTCCCTGTTGACTAAATGTTCAACGTAACAAAACCAGAATAAATGCTGATTTCAAATACATGTCAGTTTGAGGATTAAGCACATAAACTTCAAAAACCTCGTTGAGTGATATGCTCAGCTTTCTGTAAATACACACAACTTTAAATGAAATGATACTGTACATGTAAATGTATGCTGTCTGTTATGTGTACAGTATGTATAAATTCCTTTTCTAGCCACCATAAAACGTAAGCCATCAAGAGGAATACTAAAGTGGTATTGTACTAAACCTTTGCTAATGATCTTTACCCAGTCACTTAACTTTTCACTTTCATGGACCTTTCCAACTCACTCTTATGATAGCCTGCTTATATTCCAGTTTGTTATTTTACTCAGTCCCGATAAAAAAGTATTTTGATTCATTTTGTAAATATGACTGTAAAAATAAGAGATTTAATGTTGTCTTTTAAATACTCCAATTTTCATTCTAATATGAATGTTGTTATATTGTACTTAGAAACTGTACCTTTAATATTACATTACCTTTATTAAGTGCATTGAACACATCGATTTTAGATGTGCTTTATGTACTGTTATCCTGTAATAAAACTTCAGCTTCTAATGGAAAAATCTGTCTTGCTTTTTTTTTTTTTTTTTTAATTGTCAGTAGCACCTTTTTGTTCTTCTGAATCTTGACATGTATTAGGTTCAGTCTTTAAGGAATCTACCCTTACAAAATGAGCCGTGACTCTTGGCACATATATCAGTTTTTTGTTAAGTAAATAAAGTAATGTTTGACAGCAGGGAGATGAGAAGATTCCCAAACATCTTTTAAGTTCCCCTTTTGGCCAAGAAGAGTGTAAACATCCACAGAATTACTTTGGACCAATCCAGTTTCCTTCTCTTTGAAAATGTCATCTTGTTCTACATCAGAGTACACTGTGTCAAGCGCACAACAGAAGAAGTTTGCAAGCCTCCTCTGGTGTGCTAACCACCTAAATGTCAACAGTACCTTTGGTTTCTATCTTAAGATTTTAAACATGTAAAATTCATTAGACTTCTACCCCAAAGCACTTACATCTTGACAGAGCTTTAACAGCTTAGTATTAGTTTGCCTGCCCGCAATCCAGAATTAGGTGTTAGCATTCTGCTTTGAAGCCATCACCTACTGATCAAGTCAAAAAAGTTATGAAAGTCATAGCTTTCCTAGAACTGTAGTGCTATTTGTTCTACAGCAGCTTCATGACATAAGCACTAAGATAGTGAAAGTCCAGGTTTAATTTTCTCACCCTCAAGAATTGATTCCTCCCCAGTCTCTCAATTCACAGGAGAGGTCCTAACCTTCAGTAAGTTTAACAACAATTGTTCAAAATAAAAGAGGAATGAGAGACGAATCAGGGACTCCCTTGCTTGCCAATAAAGAAAGCAGAACCAGAGGTTACAATGTGGTGTTTTTGATCCCCAAAGTATGTCACAAAATCACAGTATGGGTTTGACTGGTAGGGACCTCTGCAGGTCAGATCATCTGGAGATCCAACCCCTGCTCAAACAGGGCCATCCCGAACATCTTTCTCTGAACCAGGTCCATGTTCATACTACATATTGAGCTACAGCTTGATACATCCTCACTAGATAAAGAGGAGGGGAAGGTTCTGATTTTCCTGATTTCTGAGTATCTCCAAGGAGGAGACTCTATAGCCTCTGGATAACCTGTTTCAGTGCTAGGTCACCCTCACAGCAAGAAATTGTTTCCTGATGTTAGTGCTTATGTCACAGAAGTACAAAAATCACGTGTAGGAAGTAGATAACTTCAATTGAGAAATGAACAGAATTTAGGAAGATGGTAGACTAAAGTTGGATTTAATGACACATTCACAAGTTGGGTAGGTCTTCTAATTCTGCTATGTAAACTTCACCATACCTCAGCTCTGAAGAAAGATTATTCCTTGTAAGACTAACTCCATGATTGGGCTCTGGGTGACTCCAATGGGAGATAAAAACCTTTCTGCCCCTGTCTGAGATAAAAAAACAAACAAAGGAATTGAAATTACACAGTGTCCTTGCAAGCTAGGTAGAGATTCTCTGGTTGGTGGTTTTGGACACAATCATAAAACCACAGAATGTCTTGAGTTCGAAGGCACCGTAAAGGACCACATAGTTCCTACCACCTGTCATGTGTAGGGACACCTCCCACTAGATCTGCCCAAAGCCTCACCCAGCTTGGCCTTGAACAGCTCCAGGGAAGGGGCATTCAGCTCCTCTGGGCAGCCTGTGCCACGACCTCACAGCCCTCTTATATCTCATCTATATCTACTCTATTCAGTTTAAAGCCATTATGCCTTGTCCTTTCACTACACTCTGACAAAGCATCCCTCCACAGCTTGCCTGGTGGTTCTTTTAGGTACTGGAAGACTGTAAGGTCTGCTTGGAACCTTCTCGTGGCTGAACAACCCCAACTCTCTCGGCCTCTCTCTTAGCCAGAAAGGTGTTCCAGCCCAATGAGTATCCTTATGGCTCTCCTCTCAACTTATCCCAACAGTTCCACGTGTTTGTGCTGGGGGTCCAGATCTGAATAAAGTATTCTAGGTAACCCTGAATTTCAGTATCTTCACATATTAGTATGCAGTCCCCAGTTTTAATTACAGGATTAGATGCAGTGAATGCTTCAATGGCTTCATCCTGCAATACCCCAGACCCTCATTTCTCCATCTGTTGAGCTGAAAAGGGGATCATCTTTTCTTGTAACACTACAGGTTTCCATTACCTGAATCTACAGATAGAGAATATATGAATTCCACATTTGACCACACTGGAAAGCCTTATCATCAGAGACAAAAAAAAAAAAGAAGAAGAAAAAAAAAGTTGATTTTTTGTGGCTCTGCCCTGACGGTAACTATCGGGAAGCAAGCCAGGGGAACTGAAACCCAGGGGAAAAAAGAGAGAAGTTGGGAAGTGCAGCTACCCTGAGACACCTCATCCGTCACACGGAGCCCCAACCCCCGAGGGCCCAACCGCTCTGCGGAGCCCAGCCCGGCTCCTCAACACACCCACGGCGGGAACAGGCGCCGCGAGGCGCATGACACCTGGTCAGGACCACACCTTAGCAAAGCGTTAAGAGTCGGTGCTGAAAGGCCTCAGACAGACTTCGTCACCCCGAGGTAAAGGGGAACGGGCCAGGGCCTCGCTGCACGGGGTGGCCGCCATGCCGCAGCCCGCCACAAGATGGCCACCGCAGCGCCTCCAGCACCGCTCGAGCCGTGCAGCCATTGGCTGGCTCACAGCATCAGCTCCCGCGCGCCGCCACGCTGATTGGCCAACGCCGTGAGGGCCGGCCCGCCCGGCAGCGAGACGATGAAGCGGCGGGTCCGTTCCCTGCCAGGCGCTCTAAGATGGCGGCCGAAGGGCAGCTGTTGAGTTGGTGAGTACAATCCCGCTCTCTCCCTGTAACCGAGCACAGGTGCATCTGAGGAGCGGAGGGCGGGAAAATGCCCCACGGCTCTCAGTGCCACCGCGCTGCGGCGCGACGCGCATGCGCGGGGAAAGGAGAGAGCGGGGCGGGCCTGGGTCCTCGTGTCCGCTCCGCCCCGCCGCTGGGCTGGAGGTGGGGGCTGCGCGGCGCCATTTTGTGCGGCTCTGGGGCGGGGGGGGCGGTAGGTCTTACGGCTTCACTGAGGGGAGGTGGCTGCCTTCGTTGTTCAGTGCTGGAGTGAGGAGTTAAGCGGCGCGCATCCCGTGTGGGTTTGGGGACGATAGCGCTCGTTTCGTTCTCGAAAAGAATAAACTTTTTTTTTAAAAAAAAAAAAAAAACGTCTGGATGGAGTGGTTTTGAGTTCATTTGTGAAAGCCGCGGGAATAAGAATACATCTTTCTTAGTGCCATTCGAAGTTAGCTTAGTTGACCCTGTAGGAAGGGCTCCTTCCCGTGGAAAAGGGCCGCGCAGGGGCTGTGTGGAGAGCAGTCCCGTGTCGTGGAATAGCCGGAGTTGTCGTTCTGCTCACGGCTGCAGGCGCTGTGTGCGGGCTGGTGCCGTGTGAGAGCTCGAACGGCGCTTCTGCCGCGACTTACAGCCTGTCAGTCTTCTGGGGCTGTGGAACGAGTGTGTATCTTAGTGTTGAAAAGCAGCGGGGTGCTAGGTGTGGTATGAATGCCTAATGTGAGAAGAAATGGGGAAACGCTGTATAGATGGGCTCTGATTTTTGTTTTCTTTTATAATTAATGCTGTTATTTGTTTCTCGGGATCGGGGTTTTGTCTTTCAATTTGTAATATATCAGTGTTCTTTTATTAACAGGGATGTTTCACCCAAAAATGGCAAAGAAGTGTTTTTCTCACATGAAATGTATGAAAAATATTCACTGGCTCCGAGCCTCTTGGAACTGTGGAATTTATCAAACAGGTACCTTCTGTTATGACTTGGTGCTGTTTGTCATCACTCTTTCAGTACATACAAGCAGTTACTGTCTGGGAGACAGCTGCGTGTTGCCCAGAGAGGAGTGCCATGCCTTGCCCTGCCTTGCAGCAGCTGCTCTGTGCCTTACCTGTGAGGTGCCTCAGGAAGCAGAGGGAGTTTAGGTTGGGACCTGTGGTCTTTTCTCTCTTTTGAGATATGGAGCTTTTCTTTGCGGGGATTTGTTTTGTTTTGGGGAGGGAGGGTTGTGTTGAGTTTTTTGTGGCTTTTTGGTTGCTTTTGTTTTTCGGTTTTTTTTTTTTGTGCTTGGTTTTGCAGACCAAAAAGTCATGAAGCACTTAGTCCTCACAAAGATTCTGTAACCCGCGTACCAAAGCCCAATCTCATGTGTTTATCTCCTCCTGTCAGTCTCTTGTGATCTCATTGTAGCAGGCTGCTGATACTATACAGAGAAATCCTTTTTACTTGTATCTTTTGAAAGTAGCCAACGCTATTTACATAGAATCAATCACTGCCCTGGAGTTGCACTTAGCTTCTTGATTACTCAAGGAATTGTATGGAGTGTTAGGCGAGCAATAGGAGCTGAAATGCTGTGCACACAAATCATTTTGGCATAGATGGTACTGCCAGCACACTTCTGGTGCCTTTTATTTTAAATTGAGGAAATAGAATCAACATTTGTTTGGCATAATGAAAAACACAGAGCTCACACTGCAAGATTTCAACAGCTGGAATATTATATAGTATTTAGGGTTTGTGTTTTTTTCTTATTTTTTTTTTTTAATCTCCCTTCAGCTGTTAAGGGTTTCTGGATTAGGTATGACTATACTTAGGAGTGAGATTATGTTCAGTTCTGTAGAATAGAAGCTAATAGCCAGAAAGAGCTTGCAACCAATAACATAAGGATATCAGTGGGTTGGGTTGAGTGGCCATCATGAAGAGGAAGAGAAATGTAACCTGTTGGTGCAAATGTGGACATAAGAGCTGGATAAAACATGTCAATTTGTATACTGAGATTTGTGATAAATATTTACTAACATATATGTTCACTCACCATAGAAGCTGTGAAGGCAGGTTGCTGATAAAATGAAGGGGGAAAATTTAAGCCGTCAGCTCAAATAAAGAATAGAGCTGTAAATGTGGACAGAAAAGCTCTGTCAGATTATTTTTGTTTGCACCCTGATGAAGACTGTGACAGCACTGCATACTGAAATGATCTTGATGTGCTGCCATTTCGTTCGGTGCTGAATACAGCCAATTTAAGCTGATGGAATTTCTTGACATTCTAACATTGGCGTATCTGAGTCAGCATCTTGTTGCTGCTGCAGCTTAATTAAATTTGCCAGTTTGTGCCACAGGGATGGACATATTCTCATATTCAGAGAGACAGCTGTGAAGTATTATTAAGAACTGTAAATGTGATACTGTTGGGTTTGAATAACGTTTGAGGTGTTTTCTCCTGCTGAAATTGTATTTTAAAAATATGTTTTTTCCAGGATCAACAGTTAATGTTCATTTTGTTAACCTTCAATATTTTATTTCTTAAAAATACTTCAAATAGATTAGGATAGAGATGGTCTTCACCAACTGGAGTCATTATGAGAACCAGCTTTTTGGTGTTACTTCTTTGTTTTTGTTAGGGCTGTTAGTATTTCTTACTTTAGCCCAATGTCATTTCTAGCCACTGATTTCCATCAGTTCAGAAATGAAAATGAATCTTGTGTACCCTATTCTTGGGAAAAATTTTCACTGAAATCTGGGATTCCTGTCATTAAAATGAAGTACTTTCACTTCTTTTGCAGTAAAAGAAAAGCTTTTTGTATTTAGTTTTTCTTCTTTATTATCATAACTTTTACTCATAAGATAGACGTTCCCAAGTGCAAATTGTTTCTGAATACCAACCATCAGCTAATGAGGAAATGTTGAAACTATACCTTTTCACCGTTAATGCTTTTTTCCAGAGCACTCCATCAGTTTTGAGTGTACCTTTTTGCCTCAATATCCATTATATAAATGAATATGTACATTTATTTTTGTTTTTAATTGAAATCAGTGGCAAAGCTGCTGTTGATTCTAAAAGTAAGTTTGGCCCACGAGAAGTTTCAGAATAGGAAAATTCTTAGTGCGTAGGCTGTAAATTGGAGTGGCAGAGTGCATTTTGCTGAATTAGAAATTTACAGCTGTGTGACTGCCTTTATTATATATTTCTGGCAGATATTATTTTCTAGGTAAAAGTTGTTTCACTTGTTACTTTTCTTTCAGATTGGCAAAGAAAGATGTGGAGGTATTGGCAAATTCTTCAGAAAACAAACAGACTGGTAACATACAGGCTACAAATGCAGTTGAGGCGGTGACTAAACCCACAACTGATGATCATCCTTTTCCGGAACCTAGACTTCCCTATCCATTTACCTCTTGTCTGACTGAGAAGGAGCAGAAAACATATTTATATCTGATGACTAAGTTCTCAAAAACACCAAATCATTTTCCTCTCAATGCAGCAAGTCAAAGAGAGTTACTGACATATCTGGTAAGTGGTAAATGTGTGTATATACTCAGGAATATCACAGAGGAGAGCTGTACAACTTTCTTAGCTTTGAAGAGTGAACAAAAATGTAGCAGAAGTGTTTTCAAATTCTGTTTGTGAGAACCTCCTTTTAACCTGGTATTATGAATAGCAGTAAAGGTATTCAGGATACCATTTTTAATATAAATGTAAAAAACCTTTGATTATTTTATTGAAAGCTACTGGTGCCTTTTTGGTGTGATTTTTGGCATTTCATAACGACACATTGCAGCTTTTTATAATGTGGTGAGATAAATATATTTTAATGCAATTTTTGTCAACACCCTGTATTGAGAACTTTCTTCATCAGTGTGTGAGAAAACTTACATGTTGACCTTAGATGCTTGCCACATTTAGACTTATTGGAGTAGAAATGCTTGAGTCCACACTTACTGCTCAGTCAGCAATGTGTAAATACTTTGTTTCATGTACATTTTATTTTATCTGAATCCTGTATGTGGTAAATGTTTTTGAACTGTCTTATTTGGTGTGCAGTACATCACTGTTAATGCCAGTTCCTTTGTTTTGCACTGTATCACTGGGAGTGTCTTTTCTAGGCAGATCAGCACCTACTGCATTGCTGTTACTTACAATGTAATGCTTATCAAGTCAGAGCTCAGATACCTTTGTCATTCTGTCATGTAAATTTGCTCCAACAGTGTTCTCTAATTCTGTTTTATTTAAACCACCTGTGCAGGGTGGAAATGAGCTTGCTTTGTACTTAGAGGATGCAGACCTAATGTTACAAAGTTTCTTTTTTACCTAAGTGAAGCTAAATGCATGGAAAGACTTGCCAGATTGATCAACAAGTGAAAGCTGTGCCCTTCCTCATACCATCACCTGTGCTACATCTCTGGAGATTTTGCTGTTTATGTACCAAGCCTAGGATTTCATTGTGTCTTAAAAATGAGGGTTTTTTTTCTCCCCCCAGAAAATGAAAGAAATAGTAAACAACGAAGTTGCAGAATTTATGAAATTTGCCCAAAATGCTGCAAAAAGCTGCACTCAAGACTATGATAGTATCTCTGAAGATGCACTGCTTTATACTGAGGTAATTACTGATCCTGTGTTTAATTCTGCTTTTAAGCAATGATATTGAAATTGTGATTAAGTTGCATACACACTGCTCGGGATGCAGTGTTCCCAGAGCTGCTGATTTGAAGTTGGAGTGAGACATGAAAAGTCACTGTTCCGTTGATGCTCTCCAGCACAGCCTGGTCCATAGTTTGGGTAGTAACATAAGATACAAGTAGGGTTGTTGAATA